CTCAGTTTAGAGGCGGATCTAGGGTTTAAAGGTAGCGGATGTCATAATCTCTTTTAATGTATACCTTGTAATAACTAATACAGAGTTTGTTAGGAACGTTTATTCGATTTTTTTTAGTTTATTCTGGTCAACCTAATAGGTATTTTTTTTAATTTGCAAATACTAAAATTACATCTCAAATATTAAAAAATAAACGTAATTAGCATTTTAAATAACAAATCACATCTTTATTATAACAACACAAGTAAAATCAACATTTTCAATAGGAAATTACATCTTTTTCTATATATTAAAAATAGATTTACACAAGTAAGTTAACATCTTCAATAACGGAATTACATCAATCAGAATAAGAAAGTTTAAAAATACATCTTCAATAGATAAATTATACCCCATAAGTATAGAACAAAAATTAACTAAAAGTTCCCAAAAATCAAAATCATCAATCACATAGTTTTTAAGCAATGCTTATGAAATTTTCGTCATAATTTAATAGTAAAGATATTTAAATTATATTTAATAATCATAGAATAATATAATTTTTTATGATATAATAAAAAAAGATGACAAAATATTGATCTCAATCCAAAATTTCCATTAAGACCCAAGTTTTTCGGATTTGAAAGAAGAAAACTCATAAATTTGAGATTAAGAGTAATATTTATTTTATAGAATTTTAAAATTTTGGAGTTTCTTTTTTTAGTGTTCTCGCCAGAGATCATATATAAATAATAGAATAGAGAAAAGAAAAATACAAAAAATAATAAAACGACTAATAGAAAATTAAGAGGTAGTCCAAAAGGAAAATGTCTGGGACAGAAAAGAAATAAAAAGCACATGAAAAGGGGAAGTCGGACAAGCTAAGGTTTCAGATCAATTCCAACTTAAATTTTGCACATGAGAAAAGCTTTCAAAAACTACCAGCTTTGACACCTTCGTCTAGTTTACGACTATGGGTGGCAGGATTACTTATTTAACCTAATTTAAGAAAAATTTAATATAAAAATATAAAGAATTTATCATCTTAGCGCGTGCAGTGCCACCCAGGGTGGATCCGCCACTGGTTCAGTTCCTGAAGTGATTTTCTCATTTCATGGGTTAAACAAAAGTCTCATTTAAAGTCAGACACAGAAAAGAAGGAATTTAGGTAATAAATAGTTCAAATTAGAAATACATAAAAGAGGAATTTTTAAGCCCTATTTGGATATAGAGTTTTTCATTTTTTTCAAAAAAGAAAAATTAAAACATTATTTGTTCATGTAATTTGATCAGTTTTTGAAATAGTTTTGACGAATAATTTTCAAGTTTCAAAAATCGGTGTATTTTTTTTTCACTTACAAAATTTTAAAAAAAAAATAGCAAATAAAATGCATGATCAAACATAATATAAGTATTAAAAATTATTTTTTAATATAACTTTAATTTTTTTTTAAATTTTAACTAAATTTATTTGTAGGAAGCTTAAGCATATCTGCCAAATATCTATTAAGTAATCATAGTGGACTGTGGACCATACAAACAAAAAGGAAAAAGGAAAGGGAAATTTTCTTTCCTATACCATATAGGAAACTATATTACCAAATATGTTCATAGTTTGCATATTACCCTTCATGCTAATAGTATTTCTACAAAATATAGATCATGCATTAAATAAGGAATCATTGTACCTGTAGGCTTCCTTATTTAGGCGCTAAAATTGGGGATTAAATATTCTTCCAGATCTTCCAAACGCAAATCACGCACATTAATCTTCTTCGTCAGTTTCGTTTCAAATTTAGTGTCTCTACATCAAACGCAATTATTCTTCTACAATTCAAAAACGAATTGATTATTCTTCTACAATTCACAAATCAAAAACGACTAAATCTTCTACAGTTCTTCTATATCAAACGCAATTATGTCCAAATTTCAGTAATACAAAGCAAAAGAAAAGAGAGCAACAATTCCACCATTGACAGCCATTAAAAAGCTTGAAAGCTTTGAATTCAAAATTGGATTTTCAAAAATCATTATTTGTTTGGATTGGGTGTTGTTGAAAATAATTGGGAATATGGTTTGGAGTTTATATCTCAATTTTGAGGGGTTTTGGTGAAGATTAGACTTGGTTTTGACTAAATTTCAGATTGAAACTTGAAGAAGACGTATATTGCAGAAATTGTAGAAACATTGTAGATAAATTGAAGAACAATTGTAGACTGTTGTTTATTTATTTTTCTTTTATTCATTTACTTATTGTATGAAAGTTGAACAACATTGTATAAAAATTGTATTTAAGTGGATGATTTAGTACTGTTTTGAACAAAAATATGTATCAAAAATGTGAAACATACATTTCAGGGGAAGCATGTTGAGTCCAAATATGTACCCAGTTTGTAGATATTTTGTAGATAAATTGTAGATTATTTGTATTCTGATTGTAGATGCTTTATTTTCTGTTTTCACAAATAAAAAAAACGACTAAAACTTCTACAAATCTTCTGAAAAAACGCAATTATGTCAAAAATCCCAATTATGCTACAATTGAATGGGAATTGGGATATTAAAATTCAATATACCCAGTTTGTAGATATTTTGTAGATATATTGTAGATTATTTGTATTCTGATTGTAGATGCTTTGTTTTCTATTTTCACAAATCAAAAACGACTAAAACTTCTACAAATCTTCTGCAAAAAGCGCAATTATGTCGAAAATCCCAATTATGCTACAATTGAATGGGAATTGGGATATTAAAATTCAATATACCCAGTTTGTAGATATTTTATCGATAAATTATAGATTATTTGTATTCTGATTGTAGATGCTTTGTTTTCTGTTTTCATAAATTAAAAACGACTAAAACTTCTACAAATCTTCTGCAAAAAACGCAATTATGTCGAACATCCCGATTATGCTACAATTCTGTGATTCTCCTATATGCTCTTGTTACTCCTTACGAAATTGCTATGCTAAATATGGAATCCAAAAAAACATGATGAAGGGATAGATCTTCTTATGAAATTTTGTAGATAATTTGTAGAAACATTGAACCTATTCTACAAATTCACGCCTCTTTAAATACAATACAACCATACTTTCTTGAATTTAAAGTTTTAGCAATATATATAACTTAAAAAACTTCTTCTCCTCTGCACAAGTTAGCTCTAAAACAGACGAAGTGGAATAACAAGCTCCCATCAAAACTTTTAACACAAAAACACAAAGCTCAAAAATAAATAAACAACAGTCTACAATTTTTCTACAATTTATCTACAATTTCTGCAATATACGTCTTCTTCTTCTTCGAATTTCAATCTGAAATTCAGCCAAAACCAAGTCTAATCTTTACCAAAACCCCTCAAAATTGAGATATAGGGTGTGTTTGGTATAAAGGAAAATGTTTTCCGTGGAAAATTGGAAAACAAGTAGTAATCTTATTCATTTTCTGGTGTTTGGTACGCAAAACAAGGAAAATATTTTCTCAAGAGTATTTATAAATAATTTTGATACAATAAACATGAAGCCATAAACTTTCGAACCAACAACCTTCCGAACCCACAAATTTCATAAACTTCTGAACCGCAAAATTTTCGAAACCGCAAAATTTCGAACCCGTAAACTTTATAATTTCTAAACCCGTAAACTTCGAAACACATAAACCTCCGAACTCATAACTTTTGAACTTGTAAACCGAAAGACGAAAAAAAGTAAAACTGAAAATTTATAAAAAAAAATATTTTTTCCCGGGGGTGGGGGTTGGGGTGGAGCAGCGGTGGTGGTGGTGGGGGGGGGGGGGTTTGGGGTGGCGAGAAAAAAAACAAAAATTTAGGAAAATTAACAAAAAAAGTAATAAAAAAATTAGTAGTGGTAGTGGGGGTAGGGGGAATGGGGCGGGGGCAGAAAAATACAGAAATTTGAAAATTACAAATAAAAAAAGATTTTTTTTTTTGCGGGGTGGGGGGGGGGGGTTGGTGGTGCAGAAAAAAACAGAAATTTGAAAATTACAAACAAAAAAGAAAAATTTATGGGGTGGGGGTTGGGTAGGCGGGTGTGGGTTGGTGAGGGTAAAGAATAGGATGGGGAAGCTTGAGAAAGAGTTTTGGAAAATGTTTTCCCTTCTCTTGATAGGGAAAATATTTTCCTCCAATTGGAGGAAAATGAGTTGATAAGGAAAATGTTTTCCAAAACATTTAAGCCAACCAAACATGAGAAAATTGGAAAATATTTTCTGGAAAATGTTTTCCTTCATACCAAACACACCCATAAACTCCAAACCATATTCCCAATTATTTACAACAACACCCAATCCAAACAAATAATGATTTTTGAAAACCCAAATTTGAATTCAAAGCTTCAAAGCTTTTTAATGGCTGTCAATAGTGGAATTGCTGCTCTCTTTTTCTTTCCTCTTATATTACTGAAGGAACCCGAAATCATAACCATCAAAAGTTATTGCTGTGTATGAAACTTTGAAGATTTGACTTCAATTTTGACTAGTTGTAGAAGAAAAAACCTTGATTTTGGACGTTAATGGTAGAGGGTTTTAATTATTTTTCTGGTTTTTCTGGTTTCTGGGTATGTGGTGATACGTGGGTGAGGGTGTGGGGTTGGGAGAGAAACGTGGGGGGATGGGGATTTGGAGGAATATACGGTACCATAAATTTAGGAGTGATATAATGTACAATTAATGTACAATTAAAACAACTTATGGTATAAAATTGATAATTAGGTATACTAAATGTAATTATATCAAACTTTAAACAATGCGGGCGGGGCACTCGAAGAAAGGGGGGCACACTGAGCAAGTACGAGAAATTGGCCCGCGAGGGTAATATAGTTTATAGGAATGTAAAAAATCCAAAAGGAAAACTAGGGACCACACGTCCATACCTTACATTGCTAACAATCGATCAAGTTCTAGACAAGTGTAGAACATATACGACGTGAAGAAGAAAAGCTCCTAGAACCATCCAACCTTTTGCTTCTATTTCCTTCCAGAAGCTTCTATCTTCCTCTATATAATCACCCCAACTTCCCGCAACATTCTCTGCAATTGAAAGCGAAAACCCAATTCAAATACAGCAAATCTAAATCCCACGTTCAAAAGTATCTCAAAATTGAAACCAATTCAACCAAGAAGAGGAAGATGGATTTCAGGCTAATGGGTATCGACACACCACTCTTCCACACTCTCCAGCACCTCATGGACGCTGCCGCTGATGATTCCGACAAGTCTGTGAATGCCCCATCAAGGAATTACGTACGTGACGCTAAGGCAATGGCTGCTACACCAGCCGACGTGAAAGAGTACCCAAATTCCTACGTTTTCGTTGTGGACATGCCGGGGTTGAAATCCGGAGATATCAAAGTGCAGGTGGAGGATGACAATGTGCTGCTGATAAGTGGAGAAAGGAAGAGAGAAGAAGAGAAAGAAGGGGCTAAGTATATCAGAATGGAGAGAAGGGTTGGCAAATTCATGAGGAAGTTTACGCTGCCTGAGAATGCGAATACTGATGCCATTTCTGCTGTTTGTCAAGATGGGGTGTTGACTGTGACCGTCCAGAAGCTGCCTCCTCCTGAGCCTAAGAAACCCAAGACAATTGAGGTTAAAATTGCATAAGACTTTGTTACTCTGTTTTGTGGTCACAAAAGTGCTCTGTTTTGATGCTTGGTGGTAGAGATGTAGGGGTGGTTATCTTTTCCTCTGTCTTCTTTATATTTTCTATGTTTTATTAAATAGTATGATGAAATGTGAGGAAGAAGAAAACGTGTAGGTATTATATCTGTTGTTTAATGCAAGTGACTAGTGTCCAGTTTTATTTCTTCGATTGCCATCAATTTATAGAGTGCAAAACTTTTCCATATCTGAATTCGGGCCTTCATCGAAGATTCTAACAAGATAGAAGAAATGTAGGCGATAACAGCATGGATCCTCGTCGTCCATATTGGTAATTAGTATTGCATATTAGACCTTGTTCAATCCGTGAATAGACCGTGACAAAACTAGTCCCAGGTTTTTGTGCCTGAATATATATAGGCAATAAACTAAGCTCCTGCTGTTGGTTCTTAAGTTTCAAGTACATTAGTTTTGTCTTTCTTTTTGTTCTAATGCGTAGATTCATGATTAAACGAGAAGATTGTTAGTACTTTTACTATTTAAACTATGTGTTTCTTTTCTAAAATGGATAGATTTATAATTAAACAGACTATTCACAGATCAACAACGATCACACTCGACAAAAGGTACCGATAGCAAGCGTTTAGATATAACTAGATAAGGAAAGGCCCGTATACGGGCCCAACATTGTAATCTTAAAATTATTGTTTGTCGGTGCTCAATTAATTTTTTTGATAAATAAATCGTTCATTATTATATCCATTTGATAACTGATAGAGAATGATATTGGATCACAATTTACAATTAATTTTTTTTAATAATTTACAAAAAATTAAACTATAAATTATAACTTGCTTAAGTTGCTCCAATTATTAACACAAAAAGACTATGTGCTATAATACTCATTTTAACATCAATGTCAAATATAAACATCAAATTGTAAAATTGCTTGAATGGTATTATTTCCCACTATATTTGAATTTTTAACAAGATAATACATTAAATGTACAAGTGTAATTTATATTAACAATTTTTGTAAAATAAAAATTTTACCGATCTATTTGTAAACTAATTTTGAATACATCCAATTTGGTCTTGCAAGTGTTTAAATAGTGGGAACAATCAGCTACCCGATGAAAGTTAAAGCGAACAACATCATTCTTTACAATACGAGAAAAGTTGAAAAAAAAAACTTATGATTTTACTTTATGTGTTCTATGTAACAAAATCAAGAGAAATTTTTAGTACAGTCAACAAAGAGAACTTCCAAAGGGACTTGCATCCCTAAAGAGGCAATTTACTACTTCAAACAAAGAGAACAAACTCCACTAAACAAATATTAACATGATATAAATTGTAGTAATTCAATATAATAGTTCAAATTATATTTTATTATAACTCGTTTAAAATAATATTAATGGTGATAAGATAATAAATATCCGATAGAAGTCTATATAAATTATAGGAATTTTAATTTTTTTCTTAATTAAGGATATAAGTGAAATGTTTTTATTTTTCTATAGATTTATCATATGTTAAATTTTTAAAATGAAATAATATAAAATATTTTAAGACAATTTATAGATTGTTGAAAACTTATATGGAAGAATGGAGTTCAACCCATATAAATCAAATTTTCACATCAATTAAGTACATAAGAAGTAACCTCCTAGAACAGATGAACAAATATCATCACTTAAATTAACTTTTAAGGTTTAACAAACTATAATTTTTAAAATTACTTTTGAATATAAAACTTTTAGGTGTGAATCGCCTTCAAATAGTGTGAATACATGAAACCTTTTAATTTTATTTTTTAAATTGTGTTAAAATAGTATGGGTAAATATGAAAATCTTGAAATATTTATCTAATATTTTTTTTATTGCTTTATTATTTAAAAATTAGATTTACTTTTTCTGTGGAAACTTTTAGTTGACTAAAATAAAAATTAATAATTTTATCAAATGAGAAAAAACATTCGAAATGAGTATTTGCATGGAGTAACTCTCTACAAAGTAGTCTAATCAACATTACATTTAAACTTTTAAAGGAGTGTTGTGGTCAAGGGAATGTGGGATTACGTATACCAAGGAGGACACAATTTGCATTTAAGAAATACAAACAATACAATAATTTTTTCCGAAATGACATATATGCCCTTGGTTGACCATAGAAACGAGAGAATATAGAATGTCAATATCAATGATTTGATCGTGTTCTACGTCATTTTTAACTATATAATAAGCAAAGGTTCCTTGGACGACCAAGGGTGTTTTGGTAATTTGATACATGGATATTTCTAGAACCTGGACCCATTATTATGTTAATATAAGACCCATTGAAAGTGGACCACATGTGTCCTTTTGTTCTCCACGTGCTCAACTTTTACTTTACCATTTATTTCCTTTCTTTTACACTTTCCATTGTCTATTGTCCAGCCACTTCATCTTCTTCACTGGAAAAAGGTGGTCTTCTACCCACTTCAGTTTTAATGGTTTCTCTCTCTCATTCATCTAATTCTCTTATATATTCTAACCGTGCATTTCTTTGATGGTTTATTTCATTTCGTGGGTCTCTATATGGGTTTCAACGTTCTCCATTTTGTCTAATTTGTGATTCTCTAAGCTTTCAATTTGTGGTTAAATTTTTGCTAGATTTTCTGGTTGCCTTTTTTCCTCATGTCTTTGTTTCTATTTATGCTGGATTCCTCTTGGTCTTTCTTTTTTTTTTTCCTATTTTTTCTCTTGATTTCTTTATGCTTTCTGCATTTTATGTCTTGCATGTGTGAGTTCTTTCAGATGAATGTCGGAAGAACAACAATTATGTAAAATTAGCATTTACTCCTGAATAAACCAAAAAAAAAAAGAGCAGAAAAGGTGAAAAACTAACAAAATCCACAATGCTAGCAAAAGTCTTGGAAGCGGACGACGAAAGATAGATTTTTTCTTTATGGTAAAGTTATGAAAGGGGAACCTTGTTTTGAGGCGGAAAGGCAAAAGCAGGATTTGTGAGCTTAGGGGTATCAAAGTGTAACGACCCGACCGGTCGTTTTGAGCTTTTGCACTTAGATCGCCAGTTCTCGGGCATGACTTGCCCTGTGTTATGTATTGTGACTAATATAGATCGTTGGTTTTGGTTTTCAGGAAAATTTGGAATGAATTTGAAAGAACAATTTCAGTTGAAAGCTTTGAATTTGAAAGGTTTGACCAAGAGTTGACTTATTTGTATATGAGCTCGGATCGGAGTTTTTATGATTTGGTTAGCTTCGTCAGGTGATTTGTGACTTAGGAGCGTGATCGGAATTAGTTTTGGAAGTCCGGTGTAGAATTAGGCTTGAATTGGCGAAGTTAGTATTTTGGCAAATTCCGGTTGATAGGTGAGATTCTGATCCGAGGGTCGGAATGGAATTCCGAGGGCTGCTGTAGCTTCGTTATTTGATTTGGGATATGTGTGCAAAATTTCAGGTCATTCGAGGTGATTTGATTGGGTTTTTGATCGAATGCGTTTTTCTGAAGTTTTTGAAGAACTTAGGCTTGAATTCGATGAGAAATGATGGTTTTAGTGTTGTTTGAGATGTTTTAATGATTGGAACAAGTTTGAATGATGTTATAGGAGGTGTTGGTACTTTTGGTTGAGGTCCCGGGGGCCTCGGGGTGATTTCGGGTGGTGAACGGGAAGTTTTGAACTTGTAAAAAGGGAAAAATATTGTTGCTTCTGCTATTTCCGCTTCTGCGGAATTTGGACCGCAGAAGCGAGGTCGCATGTGCGAAAGAGAGGCCGCAGAAGCGAAATTTGGACCTTAGGGAATTTTCCGCAGAAGCGGGGCTGGGCCCGCAAAAGCGAAAACCGCAGATGCGGAAATGGACCGCAGAAGTGGTTGGGCCCTTTAGTGATATTCCGCAGGAGCGGATATTCTACCGCAGAAGAGATATTTTGACCGCAGAAGCGGTAATGACTGGGCAGAATATTTAATTGATCTTCTTCGCGAATTTTGAAGGGTTTCTCATTTTTAACTCGGACTTGGAGGATTGTGGGCGATTTTGAAGAGGGATTTCAAGGGGTTTTGATAAGGTATGGATTCTTGGACTTAAAACACGATTTTATGGTGTAAATACATGGATTAGAGCTGAAAACTCAAGTAATTAATGGGCAAAAATGGTGGTTTATGGCTTGAAACTTAAGAGAGTTAAAATGGGGATTTGAGGGGTCATTTGGACTCCGATTTTGTTAATCTTCATATGTATAGACTCGTGAGGAGATAAGGAACGTATTGATGGGAAAATTTCTGAGTTTCGAGAAGTGGGCTCGGGGCTCGAGTTTTGCCAATTTCGAGATTTGTAATATTTTTCAATTGTTTTCGATTGGGTATTGTTCCATTGGCATATTGTGACATATTCGCCCTGATTTTGGATAGATTCGACGCGCGTGGAGGCCGATTTGAGGGGCAAAGGCGTCGCGAGCTAGAGGTTTCGCCGGTTCGAGGTGAGTAATGATTGTAAATGATAACCTGAGGGTTTGAAACCCCGGATTGCACACCGTAGTGCTATATTGAGGTGACTTGCACGCCGGATAGCGAGCGTGGGGTAGAGCACCGTCGAGGGATTGTGACTTGGTCCGTCCCGATTGATGATTTTACCGCGTATTTGACTGAAACTTATTTGTTATTATCATGATTTGAGCTGATTGCCATATTTGGGCTTCGTGCCAATTATCTGAAACCTTCGGGGGTTTTTATCACTGTTTCCTCACTATTTTGATATACTACTTGAACTCAGTCCTGTTGATTATACTGTTTTACAAACTCACCCGCTTTAATTGAACTTTGAGACTTAAATGATATTTCCACTGTTGTTTGGGCTGAGCACTACTGTTTTATTAATGCCCGAGGGGCTTATGATGTTTTCTGGACTAAGTGAGGCCGAAGGCCATATGTGAGGACATGTTGAGTGATGTGAGGAGGCTTCCAGGCCTCGTGAGTGATGTGAGGAGGCTTTCAGGCCTTGTGAGTGATGTGAGGAGGCTTTCAGTCCTTGTGAGTAACGTGAGGAGGCTTTCAGGCCTTATGAGTGATGTGAGAAGGCTTTCAGGCCTTATGTTATATGCCACGAGGTGGCTTGATATTGCGCTTGGGCCGTAAGGGGCCCCTCCCGGAGTCTGCACACCCCCAGTGAGCGCCGTCGACGATATATGGATCGGGCTGCACGCCGCAGCGGTTA